GACCTTCACAAGCTCCTCACAGCTATTAAGACGATGCCACTTCACGCATTTGACTTTACCAACTCGATAACGGTAACTTTAGGATACACGACCAGCCACATATGGGCCACCGCCCATAATTCTCAGGGCGAGTTAACATATACCTCCCACCGAACCCTTCAAGCAGCCCAACACCGATATGGGACTGTCAGAAAAATTCTAATGGCAGGACAACTCATAGAGTTGTTGTCTCAAGGGCACGGGATGCTCTGGGCACCCGGCGCTACCCTCCTACCCTTACTGAGCGCCGAAAGGCCAGATCCGCAGTTCCAAGGAGAACCATCTACCTGGAACACGTTAGTGCTCAACCATCATTACCATTGGAACTGCTGGAAGTGCGAAGATCTAACGCCTAGCCCAGACACTGCAGAAAGCGTCCCACCTATCCTTTACGGAACAACATCCCCCGCCTGGATGGCATCCAACGGCACAACTCGGGACGACGGGGGCTACGGATTCTATTGTAAGCCCTGCCACGAGGCAAAACTTTATGTGGGACACAGCTCAGCTCAACAGAATGAACTGTTAGGGTTCAAGGAGGTAATACAGCGTTGCCTCCAGCACCACGACGGAACGCTCCCCACTCCTGTAATTGCAATTGACTCCCAATACATTTACAAAATTGTTACTGGTACGGGGGCGCCAACACAAAACTTAGACGTCTGGCAGGACATTTTCGACATGCTGTCCACTTTCACTGTCCTCCCACTAATTAAACACACCAAGTCTCACAGGCCCGAAACCGACCCAGTACACGAGATCATCGACAAACTCCTGGAAGACACCTTTCGTACAGATGTTGTCTTAGCTGTCGAAGAAGCTAAACAAAGGGGTGGAATAGACCCGTTTCTGGCCTGGCTCCATGATCATTGGGGACACCCCGGGCCAAGAGCTTGCCATACCCGTTGGCGGTCAGCTACGAACAGTCGTACCTCCTACGGGTCGAGAACCGACTGGGAACGAATAGCCCGGGCATGTGAACCCTGTACCAAAGAGAAGTGCCACCAAATGAAATACCAGATCGGAGCATTAGACCCACTCCAATTTGCGCCAGGGAAGGTCTGGCAAGTAGACCTGCTGGGGCCCCTACCCAGCGCAAAACCACCGAACAAGGGACTCGTTATTGTCGATCTTGGTACCAGGCAACTTCAAGTAATCCTGTTGCGGAACAGCCATGCCACGGCAGTGATGTCGGCACTAACAGCAGCATTCGCCACTTGGCAACCTCCCAACGGGATCCAGTCAGACGGGGGCCCACCTTTCAACTCTATTGCGCTCGACAAATTTGCACGCCTTCACAACGTCGCTTGGCATTTACACCTCCCATACCAGCCCCAATCCAATGGAGTAATAGAAAGGCACATCGGCCTCTACAAGGAACGATTGCGCTTAAAGGGAGGTGGAACCTACAAAAATTGGACGAAAATAAACTATGACGTTCTCATCTCACTCAACGCGGACAAAACCCTATGGGATAGGTCCACCCCTCAACAACCAGAACCGTGGCACCCGAAATTCGTGCCGGATGAGCTCATATGGATCACCATCCCACATCCGCGTCAATCACATTCACGAGTATACCAAGGAAGAATCATCCATGCGGAACTGTATCCAAACACCTATACCGTGTGCTTTGAGGAAGACGGAAAGCAGCAACAAATTCTTGCCCACTATAACTGGTTATCCTGCCGCTCACAACTCCACACAGACACTGTAACATAAACAGATTTACTGCTCTAAAAATTTTTCTTCACAGGTCCGAGACCCGAGACACGCGATAGCAACAGACCCAGGTAAAGGAAAAAGTGCCACCGCAGATACAGAAGTCCGATGTGTGACGTCACCATGACACCTGGCAACACCTTCGTACTCGGACTTTTCTTGACTAACCTAATCCCATTAGCTTTTCCATTAGATGTAGGAGACCCCTCACACCCCAATACTGTTTTAACTCTCCTGTCATTCTGGGCCGATGCTATAGATGACCACACAAGTCAGAACGGCCTTACTGCTTGCCTACGCCCTCCCCTCTCCGCCACCGATCCTATTTTTACTCCCTACCTAACACCTCTAAATGTCACCGGTTGGTTCGGGGCCAGGTCCAAAGAGTCGTCCACCTCAATTAACATAACCATACGCAAGCCGTGGATGACCACCATCTACAAATGGCCGACAAATCTCACTTTTACCCACGTTAACACAACCAAGAATAACTGCATGAGTGAATCCACTATCCATGTAACTTCCAGAAAACCCGGAAGTGGATACGGAGTTTCAGTAGAAATTCCAACCCCATGCTCCGCAATCCCATGGGGAATTAACCCCCAAGGAGTAGAGTGGTCCAGGCCAGATAACTCTCTGACCTGGGACCCACGGACTGTAACTCCCCCCTGGTACCTCACAATCCCACCCTGTGCTAAGTGCACGCCAGCTAGCGCCTCCGGAATCACCCGTTCACCACTTTTAAAGCCCACACCTATAGTCACTTGGAATGTATCCTTAGCCGTCAACATATCCAGTAATCAGACCTGGTATTCGTTTTATTACCCCATTTTGCGCGCAGCATTAATGAGTTCTGCCTGTCATGGCGTGGACCTCAAAGTTGGTAAACCCGAATGGGCCAGGGAAGCCTCTAATTTATCGGGTGACTGCGCACAGTTATCTACTCCCGCTCCCTTGGGAATGTTATGGGCTTGCTCAGACGGCCGGTTGTATACGACCCTCCCAGCCACGCTTTCGGGAGTACAATGCTTCTTGACCACTATATCTCTCTGTCCCCCTTTGTATGCTAAAACCTCAAGGCCTCCTAGTCCAACATTGCTCCGTCGTCACAAGCGAGAGCCAGTTTGGAGTTCCCTCTCTTCGGAGGAAAGAGTTAACCAATTCTTTAATTGGGGACTAGAAGGCTCCTTTGCCTGGGGAATATTACCGATAGGCAAGGCCCGAGTAGCTTTCGCGCAACTCGCCGAACAAGTAGAATCGCTTGCTAACCATACCGCCAAAAGCCTAAATTTACTCAGTCAGCAGCTACAAGCAACGTCTCATATGACTATGCAAAAGTGCCTTGCCCTAGACGCAATGCTCCTCCAGCAGGGAGGCCTATGCCAATATCTTAATCTATCCCGCGATCTCTGCTGTATTAGCATTCCAAATGTCTCAATACCCTTAAATAATCAAATTGAGGCGATTCGAAAAATTGCCACCGACACAAACCAAATCTCAGGTATTGGAGGAGGATGGCTATCTAACCTCTTCAATTGGTTTGGCTGGGACACATCCTCATGGCTTTTACACCTTCTAACCCCCCTTATTACCTTGTTAATGTCTCTTGTGTGTATTGGTATCTGTGTATGTGTTGGTTGTTGTTTTATACAATACCTTAAAAACAAACTTATTTCTCTGTCAGCTTTTGTACATACCCGCTTGCCATATGAACCTCCCAAACAAGACGATGACGACCTAACCGGCTTATAAGCAAAATAGTTCCAACTGTGCCATCGGCAAGGGGGCATGTCAGAACCTAGTAACTGAATGCCTCTGGCACAGTGGAAAGTTCCAGCACAGCAGAAACCCCACCCTTGTCCAACGGTCACCTGTGTGTGTGTGTTCCAATCGTCCATGCACCCATTGGCCGACCTCTAAATTATGCCCACTTGGCAGATAGTGATTGGCTTGTTAGCCATATAAAGGCAAAAACAGTTTCCGCCCTCGTTGGAGAACTCCGCACGCATCGTGGAGTAAACTTGGCGGATTGATCACCCACCAATGACTCCCCGTCACCGACCTTCCTGACGTACCCTCTTCCTTGCATGCTCGATAAGCCGTTACGGAACGTCTCGTCTCGTTTTGAAGAACCTGTCTCATTTCAAAAAATTCTCGTTAAGGTTGTAACCTCAACTTAAGTCAGTCTTCTTCCTACACTGCACACATCTGCGGCGTAAGTAAACAATCTATTTTTACCAATACGCGTCTGTGCCTAATTCCACTCCATTCGCAAAAGTACCCACCTGGCGCTCTGGGCTACTGGCCATAGCCCGGCAAGCGAGTCGGCAACAACAGCTGTCACAAGGCTGCAGCTGCCACTGGCTTTGCTGAGTGTGAGCAGGGGACCTCCCCAACCCACAAGTGCTTAGAGTGCAGCACCTGAGGTGCATCAGGTAGCTCCACCTAGGGTTTGGTTTAATTCACAGTAGGAACACTAAATGAAACATGGGGATAACAGGGGGAAAATGTTTGCTCTGTGTGATGCAGGAGGTAAGAGGAAGTTCCCATAAATGCCCCATCTGGTCTTAACATCTATGGAAATCCAATTCAGGCTTTTCCCCCAGACCTGGCTCATCTCCAGGGACTGCTCAGCCCACCCCCTCAGTCCTCTTGCTCTGCAGAACCCCCTCAAGCTCAGAGCTGTGAGTCAGGTCAGGAGCAAACTTCAACACTGAGGCAGCAGCACACATGCAACTTTTCTCACCAGCCCCATCATTACCTACAAACCAGAGTTTTGTCCACAGTCAGTAGGCACATTTAGTACAAGTAATTCCCACTCTTGCTAGCTTTGCCTGAGCTGCTTTTGGAGAGCAGGGTACAGAACTACACTGACTGTAAGGAACCCCTCCATGTGCTGCAGAGAAATCAAGAAGTCACCTGCTGTTATGACATGAAAGAACTAGCCCAAGGCTCTACACTGTTTGGGACACCGCAGGGTGCAGCCCCTGCACATCCCAGAGCGTAGAGTCTGCAGCTTTCCTGAAACTAGTATACGAGATGCTAGACAGAGGGCATGCTTCTTGGGGCTGTTTAAGGTCAAGGGATAATCCAGTGGTAAGCATTTACCTGTGTCCCTCCCTATAAATACTTATTGCATAAGCTTGAAATCATCTATCTGTTCAGGACTCTAACACTGTCTTTTATTTCAGGTCATATATGCACAGCACCACAACTGCACCCCAAGGGGCATTGCTTACCTTTGGTTAAAGAGTGAATTCCAAGCTTCACTTGTGAGAAATTCCCACTTCCTATTTCCCCTCGGACTCGGTAGAAGCCAATCCTCTTCCCCAGAGTTAACTCTTTCACCACTTTTTCATTCTGGGTCATATCCTGGGTTAGTTTCTCGAATGGGGTCAGTCTGTGCTGTTTGCCCTCTTCGTCTTCCCCATAGCTCTCAGCCCGTACCAAGTCCTCCATGCTGTCCTCCCGGTTCCACCTGGCATAACGCTGTTTTCCCAGACCACCTCCATTCATATATCCTGTTGTCATAGTCCACAGAATAATCAACTTCCCATTTGGTTCAACAGGATGCTCCAATAGAAGGTTTAGGTAAAATACTTCTGTACAGAAATACAATGTTGGGCATAATGCTTTGATAATCTGAACAAAAAAAAAAGAAAATATTGAAGGTCACAGGATCAGTTTAGGGATGATTTAGGAACCAAACCTGCATTTATTTGCATTTCTGCTCTGTCCAAAAATCAGAAATACAATTAAAAAGTCAGTTACGTCCAACTCCAGTTAGCAAGATCTTTAAGGGTAAAAAAAGCCTTCACAATCAAAGTGGAAAACCATGCATGTACAAAAATGAGCTGTTCCTCTTCTCTGGAGCACAAACAAATGCCGTACAGCTGACACTTGAAATTTCAGGCTTTAGTTTGCTGCCCTGGAAATGACTTTGATAGGTACAGGTCACACCAGCAGGTCAGCAGCTTTGAAGAAGTCGAAAGGCTTTCAGATCAGTGCGGACTGCTGACCTTCCGTGGGAGCGAAGCAGCCCTTGGATCTTGGTTCAGGTCCCAGCCTGAAAGTTGGATTTTCTTTTGATTCATTCATTAGGCAAAGTTTTCACTGAGGTTCGAAAATGCCCGACCTTGCAGCCCTGCAGTAAAAGTGCTTGCTGCTGCATTCTTTTGTTTCCATTGCTGGCCTGATGCAAACAAGCGATGCTGTAGGATGCTGGGTGAAGCATAATCTGTGCATCAGCAAAAGAAAGGCTGTGCCTCAGTATCACTCCAGTCACATGGAAGGATAGCACAGGATTAATTTGCTGCAATGTCACTTTAACCCTCCTTTATTTAGATGAGCCTTCTTTAAATCTTTGAGCCTTCTCGAAATTTTGCCACGCGTGTGGATATGCTAAACAGAGAAATGAAGAAAGTCATTATAACATTTCCACAGCAGCAGTGGGTTTCATTGAGCTACAATATTCCACTGATAGTTTCCCAATTTGGTTTTAATTCCGGGTCTTTGGCTCTAGAACACATGCAAATTATAGGTTGTACTTGCAAACAATCGTGTAAGTTGATAGTAATGCATCTTCTTTCCTCTACCTGCATGCTGATATGATTCCTTCTCATGCAAGGTCATCAGTCACTGTTAATCACAGGTATACCTTGCAGTACCAGTCTGCATCCTGAAGGCACAGAAGCGGGCTGCACCTCAGTTCCCTCACTCCAGCTCAGGAAATGGAGCAGTAGCTATACACAGTTCATAGATTCATAGATGTTAGGGTCGGAAGGGACCTCAATAGATCATCGAGACCGACCCCCTGCATAGGCAGAAAAGAGGGCTGGGTTCACATGACCCCAGCTAGATGCCTATCTAACCTCCTCTTGCAGACCCCCGGGGTAGGGGAGAGCACCACCTCCCTTGGGAACCCATTCCAGACTTTGGCCACTCTAACTGTGAAGAAGTTCTTCCTAATGTCCAGTCTAAATCTGCTCTCTGCTAGCTTGTGGCCAGTTAATTGTTCCTATCTGTTAGTTTGATGCTATCACCTTCAGCATGTTGCCTCTGTCTGTGAAGGCAGTCTCCATGACTCAAGACTAACCTCAGGCAGGTAAGAGTCACCAGAAGTGCCACATTTAACGGGGGGGGGTGGGGAAGGGGACTCTCACTCATCGTAGATATATAGCAAGATGGAACTGGTAGTCTAGAAGAAAGTTGCCTCCATTAAGAGGGTGCAGTGGAGAAACAGAAGGAGCCATGAAAGGACAATGAAAAGGGATTTGGGTACTACTTCATCACCAGGGACCTGGATACCATAGAAAGTATTAATGCAAGGCACTGATATGGTTAAACTCTTCTTGCCATTCAGTCTTCCAGGCTAGGGACAGAAGTTACACAAACTGGTTTAAGTGATCAGAAACTGGTTTAAACCTGTAACGGAACAGGAGTTCAGTGCACATAAACCAGTTTCAAAATCACCAAAACCGGTTTGAGATAAACCTGGAATATAGTATCAAACTTAACTACCTGAGGTCAAACTGATTTATGGAACTTCTGTCCCAGACCTCAGCCGGTGTCACACTGCCCTGGGGACCCCCAGACTCTTTCTGGTGGGGGGCTGCGCTGCTGCAGACTGAGCAGGGGCAGCAGTGGCAGTAGGACTAGGGAGGGCTCAGGGGGCTACGGCCACCCAAAAATTTGGGTTCGCCCCAACAGCTACCCCTCTGAGTCCTGCTGCCGCCACTTGACCTGTGCAGGCTGTGGCAGCTATGCCCACTCTGCTCCCCCCCGCAGCGCAGCCCCTGCACGGGGTAGAGACTTGCACTCCCTGGGACACCATGACAGTCGCTCCCCCCTCACTGCCCCAGCAGCAGGAGTGGGGGCATGGCCAGATGCCAGCTAGCATGGCCCCCTGAAGCGAAGGGGGCAGAGAGGAGGTTTATTCCCCCCTCTGTCCCCTCTCCCCCCAGGGAATCCCAGCCGGGGTCTGTCGGCTGGGTGTGAGCAGCAGAGGTGGCAGCCAGGGCTGTCAGTCCCTGGCTGTGGTCCCCCGAGGAGAGGGAGGGGGAATAAACCCCCTCCCTGGCCCTTTTGCCTTCAGGGGCCATGCTAGCCAGCATCTGGCCACCACCCCAGCCCTGCCGCTGCAGCAGCCGGGGTGTGGGGGGGAGCAGGGAGGGGGAACTCTGTCATGGGCTGCTGAGCCCTGTCAGACAGACCCCAGCTTGGGTCTGTGCCAGTAGGACAGAGGACATGGGGAATTAAACCCCTGTCTCCATTCATTTCACACTGCTGCCGGAGCTGGCCAATGCCCCCTGCTGCTCAAGTGGCAAGGGCGGGAGTGGGAAATGCCTGGCAAGGGCTGCTTCCCCCTTCTTCCTCCAGACACACTCCAGCTGGGGTCCCTGCAGGCCAGTGTGGGGGTTTAAACCCCTCCCCACTCAGACTCAGCCTGTTGGAGCCTGGCCATGTGGCCCACGCTCCAGCACAGCTTCCCTACAGCTGGGGGCTCGCACCCCCCTGGCTTCTAGCTTGAGCCACTGCAAGCATGTGGCTGCATTTCTGGAATCAAAAGTGAGAGTGTCTGTTCACTTGCAAATTGGTTCAATCTATGCAGGTTAACCTAACCTGGAAAGACTGAATAAATTCAGGCTCAGGTTTTTTGAATGTCTGTACTTAGCCCCAGATAGGCAGAAGCTCAGGTGCTGGGCAGCGCTTCCAAGAGGTATGTTCAGCTTCCTGCACTGACACCGACATGCTGCGAGATGCTGGGCACCACTCTGTGCCTCGTATTTAGAAATAAATGATGCCTGTGAGGCAGAGACTAACAGGACAGTCTCATCGCCCGTTCCCTTTTCAGCTGAGGGATTCAGACACAGGCTCCCTGCATGACTGTGGTCAAGTTACCCCACTACACCAAGATGCCTGAGCTCGCTGTCTGAAAACTGGAGTAACAAAACCATCCTGTCTGTCTACCTCTTCAAGGTAGGGACTGTCTCTTAGCTATTGTACATACACTTAGTGCGATCCTCCAGGCACCACTGGAGGACAAACAATAGACAAACAATAGACAATATATAGTAGCACGGTTAGAGAATGTGTCTCATGACATTTCTTTTGTCCTTAGTGGTCCAGGATTTTTATTTTAATGTTGTGTTTCTTTTAATTTTTTCTAGAACATAAATTGCAGTGTTCAGCCCCACTGCCACTAAAATAGACTATTTTCATAGTTGTCCTGGGATGAATATAATAAATAAGCTACAGAGCAAAATAGCTCTCATAGCAACATGTGATCAGCACTCACTGGAAACAGACAAACACCAAGAGAAATCTGTGGAGCAAACACAAAGAGAGCATTGTTTGCAAGTTAGCCCCAGTACCATTTAAATACATTTTACATTTGGTTCTTTGGATCTAACTAGAAACAAAACTCTGGGAGGTGCTGAGCTCCTGCAGCAATGAGTGATTCAAGTCCTGTTATCCTCAGTGTGCCAAAACTCTTGATCAAGTTCATCAGTTTTTTACTTGAATAAAATCTTAGTAAGGTCTTCAGGATCCAGCCCACTGACTTTAAAAGGGAGCAGCTGGTGGCAATCAGTTGTTCTCAGCACCTCTCAGCTGAAGGAGAACTTGCCATTCTGCAGAGCCGACAAACTAAGACCCTACATTCTCCATTTGTTCTCTTTTAATCCTGCCTAGGAACAGCAGGGCCTGATACAGAACTGGACTAAGTCTCAAGAGCTGGGTAGTATTCCTATTTGATGTTGGGCAAAAGTCAGCGTGGTAAACTTGGACCTCATCTGATGACCAGCTTCCCCATCCAGAAAATGAAGATTACTGAGGCAGGTAAGTATTGTTGAGAGCTGCATGTTTATGGCTGAAAATTACTACATAAGTGTTTCCAGTAACTCTACTAAAGCCCTTATTATATCACAGCAGCACAGCTACTAGTCATGGCCAGATTCTGGCTCTCCTGCCTGGGAGCAAAAAAGTGGTGAGGGGGCACTGAAAGCCCCTTCTCCCTTGTGCCCTTCACAGCACAAGAGGTGACAGGCTAGCACAACCAGAGATGTTGCAGGCCACAAAAAGATATGGCTGAATGGTGGGATGGGGTGGGGCAACGCTGGGGCCCAGCAGCCTGCCCTGAACCAATTCTTGGGTGGAAGCTGATGCTGATTGATAGCACAGGTTGCATCTTTAGGGCCTGCTCCCTTTAAAAGCAGTATGTATTGAGCCCTCAGTAGAGTCATTAAACCAATTACAAGACACTGTCCACCAGCCTCCAAGCACTACTGTGGAACTATCTGCTACTTGAGGCTACCAAAATAAAGTTCTGCATTGTTGTCAAAGTCAGCTTTATTTGCAGCGGAACCAGAAATGTAGAAAGAGGTGCGCTATTATAATGGCAAAGAAAATCTTGGTTTATTCAGTGCACTATGTGAAACAGTAAGCCAAGGCTACCCATACTAATGGCCCACACAGAGGCTGCTCAACAGCCCATCTTTTGCAAGAATTACCCATGCCCTTTTAATCAGTTATCTATACAATAGGACTGAAGAAAATCCTCCAGACGCAGGGCTAGGCCGTGGCAAGGAAAATCCAGCATAGAATCATACAATCCATCCTTGTATAAGTATTGCTCCGGGCAAAGAAGCCAGCTAAAGCAGGGTATGCAAAGGCTTGGAATCATAGCGACAAAAGCATCATGGCTATAAGCATGCCTTCACCAGTTCTCTTTTTCACACAGATAAAATATTTGCCACACCCAGTCCATTCAGAATTTGCTCCTACATAATCTTGTGGGAGCCCAAGGTTCCCAATATTTGTGGGAGCCCTGTTTTTAGAGCACAGATTAAACTAATATTTTCCCAACTTGCTTAGAACTCACTGGCTCTGCAATTTCCTGGCTTTTATCCCACTGGCTAGGTTTCCCCAGTTTTTTAAGATGAACTGTTTTAGTGATACAGGAGCTAGCAGCACATATAACATCTATTTATGGTCTCTGTTCTCTTACTTGTTAACCTAAATCATGAAAAATGTATGACATGTCACCCTGAAGGGCACTTTACAGATGTCTATAACAATAAATAATAAGAATAAATCAGAGAGGCTGAGGAATTGACAGTTTCTTGGTCTGGAAATACATGTCGTGAAGGGTAATTTATATTATTATTTATTATTATTTATTATTATATTAAATTATTATTAATTTACTTGGCCTTTTGGTGACCTGCAACACTTGGTCAATTGCTGCCTAATATAAATCTTTGCAAAATATACTAGAGACCAGGACCATGAGTAAGACAGAAAGAACAGAGATGTTACATTTGAGGAAACTATCCGAGCAAAGGTGGCCTTTGCTGTTAGTACCTTACTTTGCTATTTAAAAATGTTCACAATCAGCGCTG